TTTGGGGGGTTTAGGGTTTAGGCTTAGGGATTGGGGGTTTAGCTAGGGTTTAGGGTTTTGGGGTTTAGGGGTTCAAGTTTGGGGTTTGGCTATATGGTTTGGGGTTTAGGGGTTTCGACAGGTCATGGGTTTTACAGAGTTTTTGGTGGGTTTTACAGCGCTTATGAGGGCTTCATAGATGTGTCCACGCGGCCCCTAGGTACTTTTTAGTGCGTGGGTTTGCAGTGATTCAACTTTCAGGGTACCCTAAATCCTAGCCTCTAAATCCAAAGCCCCAAGCCCCAAACCTCTAATCCCTAAATCCTGATTCATCACAGAGCTACGGCTTCCCGCGACACTGGGCACCTACAAGACTATGTGGCCCGCAGACAACCAACGAGGTCAAATCGCGACATGCGGAAATGAGGGTAACAAGCATCTTGGTAGAGAGGAAAGCAAACTTGCATAACATTGCCATAGTACCGGCATCAGCAAGTCTACTGGTATGTTTGGATATCACGTAGCAAGAAATTTTGCATATGCACAATTAAGCTTTCAGAATCATGCTAGGCCATAAGAACCACCATAAACTATAGTAGGATCCTTAATATGATTAAGGAATATTCCTTAATTAAGGGATACTGGAGTCTCCGGGAAGCTGTCAGAATCATGCTAGGCCATATGAACCACCCAAAAAAGCCAAACTCGACACCCTGAAGCCCCTAAACCCTCGCCCCCTAAACTCTTAAACCTCTCAACTCCGACCCCTAACCTCCTCCTAATTTAAAGCCGGTTTAGGGTTTAGGGTTTAGGGTTTAGGGTTTAGGGTAGGGGAACAACAAGTTAACCTGTGAGAGTACAGAGGGGTTATGATACCCCAAAAAGGTCAAAGATTACCTTCTCTACTAGTCTCAAGCCCCCAGCCCCAAACCCTAGACCCTAGACCGTTAACCCAACCCTCAAGCCCTAAAGCCTAAATCCTCAAAGCCTAAGCCCCAGACCCCCACACTACACCCTAAACCCTAAACCCTAAACCCTAAACCCTAAACCCTAAACCCACCCTCAACCGCTTCTAGCTCTCATTGGCACGGCTTAGGTTACTTCGGATGTGGGCTGCCGAACCTGAAGACCCTGCAGCCTTTTCGGCTTTGGATGTTCATGGCGTTTCTTTTACTGGGTTTTCGCCGCTTCATGTAGGGTTTAGGGTTTAGGATTTTAGGGTTCAGGGTTTAGGGTTTAGGGAGGCTTGCTACCACCTAGCCTTCGTCGCACAGCCTCGCCTGAGGAAGATCATCGTATGAAAGGTCACACTATATGTCCTTAATCTGCATTCCGGCGCCGAGCACAAATATACGCGTGCGTGTGCATGCGTTTACATATTATATACACATGTGTGTGCGTGTAGATGGTTCTTGTTAATGGCTAATGGCTGCCTATATCTTTGTAATTTCGATTTTTATCTTCGTATCCTTTAGGTATATGCGTATCAAATACGTGCTTGCAATATACATAGACGCATCTAGAATTGGGGTGACTACATCCACCGTAGCGTCGTGCCTCCTCGATCCCATGTCGTGCTCTTCGGAGCCTGAACCAGAACCGCTGCAATCCGACAGCGAGTCGGCATCCTGTGCTACGCCTTCTCCGACGCTGGTCGTCCTCTCGTTTCGGACGCTTTTCATGTTTTATTACGAGACCGTGCTCAGAGATACCGATCCGTCGGATCTCTCAAACTGTGCCAAAGCGTCCATGAATGCTGGGGATCAGATTAGCATCTTCTGGCGGCCTGGTGCCAGAGAGTTCCTGCAATGGATGCTGAACGACTTCCCCAATCATTATCCTCTGAAGCTTGGTCTCATCTCCAACTCCCTGACCTCTGAGGACTTTTTAACTGATTGAGGGTCTGAGGACAACGACAAGTACGGGATGTTGCATATTTGGCTCTTATGGGAGTTCGTGGCTGAGTGTCGGGGTTAATAGCTTCAGGGCCTTTCATTCTCTGGCAGGACCTTCGCAGAGTCATCTGCAGTATCCTGGAAACGATGGGTTGGGGACCTCCTGGACATGCACCGGGCGGGCTTGTTGTCGGGAAGCACCACATACACCTGTTTGGGTATGAGTACGTGGACTACGTCGAGACTGTGTCTGGAACGAAGCAGAGGCCACGTTGGAACCCCATTGTGACGCATACAGGCTCGGAAGAAGACAAGTCCATGCTCGTCATAGAGGGCACCGGCATCTACGCCGACATGGAGGCCATCAATGCGCTTATTGTTCCGCCGTTCATTCAAGACGTACTTCAGACTTGGGCATGGGACGAAACGTGTGATGAAGAGCTGAAGAAGCTCCGATATTATCTGGACAAATTCTTTTTCAGACTTCACTGCGAGCGCCGGGGGGATGTCAAAGAACTCCTCGAATGCGAGCTGTATAGTGAGTAGTACAAAGGGTTCAGGGTTCACCTGAATGCCTCCGTGTTCCCTAAACCCTCAACCCCCAACCCTAAACCCTAAACCCCAAATCCTAAACCCCTAAACCCCAAACCCTAAACCCTAACCCTAAACCCCAAAAAACCCTAAGCCCTAAATCCTAGACCCTAAACCTGAAGCCTCGGTGTTCAGTTTAGCACTTTGCTTCATGTTCTGCTGGTGCTTCCATGAGTCTTTCGGCATGTCCGCGAGCTTTGGGGGAGGTTAGAGGTTCATGTTTTAGGTTTTAGGGCTGAGGGTTCAGGGTTTAGGGTTTAGGGCTGAGGGTTCAGGTCTAGGACATTTTCAGGTGGGTAGTTACCGTTATAGGAGGAGCCTTATAAAAGGTGTATATGCCTTATAGAAGCCTTATAGAAGCCCGATATACCCTAAACTAAACTCCCCACCTCCTTTGATTCAGAGTTTACGTTTTTGTTGGTGTTTTCGGTTTGTCATGTCTGGTTTCTGGGATCACGTCTCGCAACCTCTGAGTAGCGCAGCGCTCGTCCCATAACCCACAGCTCGTACACCTCAACCCTAAACCTTAAACCCTAAACCCTAAACCTTAAACCCTCAACCCTCAACCCTAAACCTTATCTCAAACCCTAAACCCTAAACCCTCAACCCTCAACCCTCAACCCTAAACCCTAAACCCTAAACCT